ATACGCACATACACAGCTTGAGAATGCCCAGGCCGAATCACGTGGCATGCATCGCTGCCCAAATAATGCGGGGCCTGGAGCATCTGCACAGCAGGCTGGCAGGCGTCATTGAAAATATGTCGTTGTTTGTGTTGTCCTGACTGCAGACGGCTACTTCACAGAGACATCAAGCCCGAGAATGTCCTGCACAACGGCTTGGGCCAGGTTTGGACGTTTTTGATCCGGCTTGTCGAATGTGCAATGGTCCTCTCTTCAGGTCAAGCTCACAGACTTTGGCATATCAAAGGACGGTGTCCAACCCATCTTAGTTCTGACAGATGATAACACCTTGCATTGGATTAGAACTAGAAGCGAGGGCACTCCTGGACATGTTTCTGCAGGAGTTAGAGTAAAATGGCAATGGGATAGAATGCTTCAAAGGTAGTAGCATAAGAAAGACTACTCAATGTGCTCTGTCATTTTGCAGTTCCTTACTACTTGTATCTACCTTTGAAGTGCACGATGGTTCTTTGATTAGTTTGGTGATTGCAATTTTTCGGTCCGCATTGCCTGCTGAAAATGTTCTAGTCAGTGCAAGCAGGATTTGACATCTACTGCCGGTGTGGCAGCGAGCTTCGTCGGAACCGCGAACTACATGTCGCCTGAGCGCGCTCTGGGAAAGGACGGTTGTTTTCTGCAGTTATCGCAATCCAGGCAGAGAAGGTCTGTCACTCCCATCGTGTTTTGAAGATCTCAAGGTGTAAAGTCCATGCAGTCCTTGCGGTCCTGCACGTCAACCGGTGGTGTGCACACGCCCGTAGGTGTGCACGGGCCTTGTGATGCTTTGTCTTTGCACACTGTGCTATTGGAAAGGACTATTCCTTCAGGCCAGCTTGCAGATTATCCCACTCCGTGAGCTAGGGTAGCAAGTGTGGCTGCATTCGTTACCATTGTCATTGCAGCTCACTGCGATCTTCAGGTCAGATGTTGGGATCTTGGGCACGTGATGTACTTCCGTGCTCACTTGTTCAATACTTGAATATTGCATCCTGTTCGGCTGAGGTCTGGAGTGCCGGAATGGTGGTGTTCGAACTGGCCAATGGGCAGTGCCCAGAGTGTCGAAGTAGATGCATCTTGTTGTGTTGTGGTGCGTTCTCTTCTTGTCTTCGGTGTCGCAGTTCTTCCGACACTGGTGACACATTCAAAGCACAACCAACTGACTCCAACGGTATGTGTTTCTGTGGTACTTTCAGAGCCTGCTCGGGCTTGATCCGGCTTCTGTCAGCCTCAATGCTGCTTACATCATCGCTTCCAACACTCCGGTCGAGACTGGTAATTCTTATCGCGAGTTTCTGTTTGTGACGCGCGTGCACAAAATCTGACGCCTTTCGATGTCATGACGCTTTTCATAGTTTCCATGGTGGCGACACCGCTTTCGTTGGGGAAGCAGCAGTCAGTGCCCTTTTTGTCTATTGAAGTCAATGACGGCAAAGGCGGCTCGGGAGGGACACTCTCCACGCGGCCTCCATGCGGCACAAGCGAGGAGAGTGAGTAATCCTGGCTTCAACAACCGATGGCACAGCGCCACGATCAACAACAAATACTGTTCCTGTTTGAGATGCAATAGCTGCGTTGAACATTCGTGTGTGTGTCATAAATATTGTTTCATAGCTTCACAAGGACCAGGAAAACTTCTTCAAGACAGTAGACAGCATACAAGCGGTCCTTGGTTTCGAAGGCCAGGAGGGCTTGCGACATCACATTTCCATGGCTTAAGAAGCCAAAAAACTACATCAATGCCTTGCAAACGTAATTACAACATGATTGCAAAGCATGTCTCAATCAAGCATGCAGACTATAAAACAAGCCAGTGACAACATGCAAAATACGTCGCAGTTTAAGCCTTGCTACGGAGAAGCTCGACCAACCCTGCACCGATGCATGTCTGAGCCTCGGACTAGGCTAGGGGTGGCCCAAGGCCAGGGTACTGCAAGAGCTAAGCTGAGGGCCAAGTTGGAGCAGGTCGAGGACTGGTCGACTTCAAAGCAGCCAAAATTACTCAAACCAAGTGTTTTGGCTTATCTGTTGGAGGTCGACGAACCTGAAATCGCACATGTTGGTGATGTTGCATCCTGTCGTGCTTCCGAAAGCAAAATCAGCCACGACATCACAATTCGCAAGATTGTTTGTCCTTGTTTGGTTTTCCAAAAGCATGAATCGAGGCTTACTTTTAAGGCCAATGTCATCGATTTATGGTTATTTTGGATTTCCCAAAACACCCAAAAGTGGCAGTACACAGGTGGGGCAGCTCGTGTCCTCCAAGAGAGCTTAAGGCTGCCTCATGCTTCTTTTGCCCCGAAAGCTCGAGCTTTGGTGTTTCTCTGGCCAGTGCCAGACCTCCTCGGGGTGGGCCACAGGGGCATTCGAAAATCCAGCGGAACGTCACCAACCCAATCTAACCGAACCAAACCTATCCTCTGAAAAACTTGACCTCCGTCAAGCCAACCCGACGAAACCTAACCTAGGTTCGGTCGGGGACGCTTTTGGTGCGCTTGGGTTTAGGGTTTAGGGTTTAGGGTTTAGGGTAGGTTGGGTTCGGTCAGGTTAGCTTAGGGTAGCTTGGTGAGTGTTAGCTTCTGTTGAACCTTTCCATTGGGCTCCGGTACGTGGGGAAATACCGTTACTCATCATCCCCGACGAACTTACTAAAGCCACAGTGGACGCATGGGTTTCTGAGCACCATTGTGGGAGAGGGATAGGACTAGTTCTAGACTGGCGAGGGTAAGGTCTTCTTGAGCAGGGACAACTTTCCATCCGCCATAGCCGCTTTCAAGCTTCAAACAGTACGTTTACATTCAAGCACGAAACTCAGCCGGAACAATCAGAACGGTCCTCAACCACCACAGCAGGCGCTCTCACAACATCGCCTGTATTTAACCCTAATTCAGCATTCAGTGTAGTCACAGTCATGAAGGGGGTGAAGCAAGCGTTGCCGATGAAAGCCCGATCCGGACCGCAGAAGCCGCGCCCCAAGCCATAAAATCCCCTTTGACGAATCGTCGGCTTCGAACCGGCCCAGGAAACGCATCGAGATCAGCTTCATCGGCGGCGAAAGCCACCAGCTGGAGGCGCACCAACAGAAACAGCCCGAATAAGGTACACGGCAATACCCACCGTTGCGACAGCGATCAGAGAGATCGTCACAAGCAAGTGGGGCGCCGGTCAGGGCCCGTGACGCAGAACATGCGTGAGGTGGCAACTTCAAGCTGCTGTCCGGTGAACTCCTGCTGCAGGGCAACGAGTGCTGCTCGACCGTGCAGCAGGGCATCACTATAATCCAGCTTGCACGGTCGGGAGCCCAAGTCCAGTGTTTCTTGGATTGCAAGTTGTAGCTCACCAAGCCCACAGCTGCCCTCCGATATGGAGGAGGAGGAGTCCCTGTGCCGGCCTGAGCTTCCCCATGTCTCTCTCACTCGTGCTCATTCTCACACCAGCCAGGTCGTCCGGTTTCTACACGAGTGTAGACGGCGACGGGGACGACAGCGAGTGAGTCTCGAAAGAGAAGGCCGGGGAGGACCAGCAGCTGGCGAAGCGTGGTCCGACCCATATAAACACTAACGAGCGGGGAGCGGGAGCTGCAACCGTAGTCGTCACGGTGACTCTGCCAGGTAAGATCCCCAAATCCCAGGGATTCATCTAAGCCTAAGCTTGTATACACGCGAGTCGCTAGCGTTGAAAAAAGAAGACCCTGGGTGAGGAACAGCTTCAGTGCCTTTCCAAGGAAAGGTCAGGTCGTCAGAGCGACTCGCATGTTTGGAGCCAAGCCCCTTAAGGTTTGGTTGGCTGAGGTCGAGGTGCGCTCATCACACACCGCCCTGTAACCTTCGGGCTAGTTTGGTGCAGGGCTATCTGCTTTGGTGCGATCCACGGTTGGCTTGGTGAGAGTTTTGGTTTTATACGTGATTTTGGTTTGGCGAAAAGCGCCTTTGCTTTCGCTTGTGCCTGGACGGAAACTTAGTCCCGTTGATTGCCCCTCGCATGTTTTTTGCCTTCATGTTTGCCATCCGAAAAACGAAAACATACGGTTCTGCTTCTGCTCGTGTCCAGTTTTGGAAGGGAAAGTTAGGGACGGTTGCCGGTTGGCCCCGATGATTCCCCAGCCATGTCATGTACATCCGCAAAACTTAGTTGATTTTCGTGGCTCCAGGAGTACAATTTAGGGGTTTGGTAAGGCTTAGGGTTGAATTCAAATTTAATTCGAGGGTTCTGCTAAAACATATCTCACCCCTTGAACCCATATACTCCAAACGAAACCCTAAATCGTACTTTGAACCCTAAAACCCTCAAGCCCTAAAACCTTAAAGCCACGCCAAACGAAACCCTAAATTTA